CCGAGCGCAGGTATAAAAATTATTTATTGTTTTCAGTTCACCACAGAGCATGCTCAGTGGTGAAGGTGCCTAACCCCACCTGTGTTTGTAAAAATTTAGAAGCGCAGCCTCATAACATGTACTTGTAGTTTACAAGTTTAACAAAAGGCATACTGCCAGGGATATAATAAATGTTGGTCCATTGATTGGGTGGTATGTGAGGTTTAACATCCCAAAACCACCCTTTGATTATGAGCGACGCCGCAGTGGATGGCTCCGGAAATTTCGGCCACTTGGATTTCTTTAACGTGCACCCAAATCTGAGCATATGGGTCTACAGCAATTTCACTTCCATCGAAAATGCAGACACCGCCTTTGAGATTCGATCCCTCGACCGGCGGGTCAGCAGGTACTGGTGCATGGAACGCCTTTAGTAGTTAAGATTCAGCACTAACAGAAAGTGTCGCACTGAAGATAAAGAATATGTTATCATGACAGCTGGTGTAATTGCCATTTCCAACAGGCGCAAAGCGGCCACAACTGTCAAAAGTTCAGCCACAAAAACGGGTATAGATCAGATAGTTGAAAAGTATAAGAACAGTATGAATTCGTTCTAAGTATACCAACACAGCAGTTTTCATCTGATTGTAATGCGTCTGCAAGAACAATAACAATTGTTGTAATATTGCGCAGGTGATCTTGTAATAAAGCATCTAAGTTTTACAGGGAAGTCATGGGGCTTTATTTGAAAAAAATATCATCAAATTGAATTTCCAGAGGGTATGACTTATGACCAGTCGGGATGATATTGCATATATGTGCGTTTATGACTTGTTGGCTGTGAAATCGTGGCTATGAAGCTTCGAAAATTCATACCGGGTTGAAAAAAAAAGGCCGTTTCTCATTGTCGTAATAGTGAATCATGAATTCTCAAGATTGTTTGTACAGATAAATGCAAATTCTGCTGGAAATAGAAGGAACTCTCGATTCTAGGTACAGAACGTAATGTTAGGAACTGTTTTATGCAGGCTAGGACATAAGCGCAAAGCTTGCCTTTCCGAAAACAAAGAAGAGGTCTAATTTTCAAGCTGAAGCCTTAGAGAAAGGTGTACAACCGGCTTCCAAAATAGGACAAATGTATATGGCATATATCAATATCAGCGGGTCTCTTCTAATACTTATGAGGTAGTTGCTTAGCCTACGTAATACGCCACAGGCCCGCGCATGTTTTCCGGCGATATATTCAATTTGAGGTCGTCAGATAAGCAAAGTATAATGAATTACTTCTAGTTGCTTAATAGATTCTGCCTGTCGTATATCCTGATGATAATAAGACAGTGAGATGTGCACACGACACTGCAGTGGGAGAATAAGAAGCGCGCATTCACCCGAATTAAGCATAAATCACTTACCATCGAGCCAGCTATCCATAGTGTTATGGTAAATCTGTAGCCGTTTAGATAAAGTCTGAATGTGATGAGCGATTGCAAAAAACGCAACATCGTCTGCATAAACAAAATTTGTTATGTTCTGGTGACGTGTAATGGTGCTGATCAGTGCATTAAATAGCACTGGGAAAACCACTGAGCCTTGCGGTAGTCCTCTTATTTGTTTGTGAGTTGATGATCTACACCCACCTTTAAAAGAGTGAAATTTTCTGTCTGCAAGAAAAGTGCGAGCCTACGTTATTAGATACGTTAGAAATCAAGCTATTTTAATCGATTTATAAAGATACAGTGCTCTAGGGTGTGATATGATTTAGCGAAGTGTAACGTAATTAAAGCTGCAGATTTGTTACGTTGCCGAGCAAGTTGCATATGACTTTTCAAATGAACATGGATATTCAAAAATAAACAACTAGTCTTTAACCCAATCGAACAGAGGCTATAAACTGACCTCTCGTCAATAAGTTCATTCTTTGTATTTTGATTATCCTATAAAACAATTCCACTAAAGTTAATGTCAATGTGATTGGTGTTTTGTTATCCAACATGTATGCTCCAGTTTGATTTCAGAGCAACATTATAATTTTAGCAAGTTTCCATTCTGGCGGGATCCATGCGTTCCCTAACAAATAATTCACAAGTTTCAGCAGAAGATTAGGCAATTCCTGAAGTAAGACCATAAATAAAAAAAATTCTTTTTTTTTCATCTGGTTCTGCAGATGTCCTTGTTCGGCATCGTACTTGTGACTTACTTCAGCTAACAATTTTTTTTAAATCCGAGTGATATTACTTGCACAAAGCGAATTGACAAAAATTTAGCAGTGAAGCAGTGCTTTAAACTTAGCACTTTGTCTTCTAGAGAGTAGTTCATTTCTTCCGGCATAAAGACACATGATTGTAAGGTTAAAGGCGTTGGCAGTACTTTACTTCTCACGAGCTATGGGAACAAATCACGCTCATTTTTTTTAATTTGGAAGGGTAATTGTAATGTGAACTGTCGTATTTTTTTTTCGCACGCTTAATAGTACGCTTTAATACGAGAGCAAACAATTGATAGTATTTCCAGTTTGTTGAGTACTGATTATTGAGAAGTTTTCTACCGGAATTTAGGCTTCTATAATCCCGCGTAAATTCATCCTTCCACCAACAAGATGAAGGTGATTTACTCAATCGAATAGTGAATTCAGTATTTTTTCTAGATCTCTTTAGCATATAGCCATTCGTACATGCAATCTCGTTAGCACTCGCATTTTGAAATTTAGAAATGGCACAATGCAGAGAGGCATGAAATTTACCATGGTTTTCATATGTGCGTGTTGGCCGATCTAAAGTTATGACTCAACAAGTAATATAAAAACAATAAGAAGGTGGTCGCTGTTAGTTGTTGAGTCAACAACAGCCGATGAAAAAAAATTGATTGCATTGAAGAAAAAGGGTCAATCCAATACTGAGCAAGTCTGATTTCGGACAAATGTTACGTGGCCTTTATTCGGACACGAAAGGCTGTGGTCAGTGATCTATTCCCACAGCCGCCTTCAACAAAAATTTGTCCTTAGCTCCCAAGAAAAATGCAGTGAATTAAAGTCTTCTGTGAATACAGTTTTTCCTTCAACAGGCTGCCTAAACACTGCCAACGTGACTAGTGCTTTAAACACCAGAAAGAAAATGACAATTAAGAAATGAAAAACGCCTGGTATCCGGGGAGACACAAAGGTATTGCTACTCTTTCACGCCCCGAGCCTAACATTCTGAAGGAAATTTTCGCGCTATCGCATAATTTGCTTGATACAATTATTATTAAACAACATCACTCGTTTGACGATCTAATCGAAAAAGAAAACAAACCAATTGTCGTCTTGTTCCACTGCATGATTAGTGTGGCTGATATTGTATAGTAAAGAAAGGTTAAAAGATATAAAGACTGTTCTAACATGTTTCAAAGGGTTACAATATCAAGCCGCACCAATAATCTCACCACCTTCGTAGTACTATTACACTTTTTAGGGCACATCTGTAATTAAATAGGGCATTGAAAACAGAGAAAAAAAATTACCCGCTCAAGGGGAAATATTACTCTAATGAACGACCCTTACCAACATAAAAAAATGAGGGGGACTGTGTCACATATTTCTGTTTGAAGTCTAAAGAGAAAGTTGTGCGCTGGCAGTCATTGATGTACCTTGCATATAAAGAAAACCACACTACTTAGCACTGGTACACTTCCAAAGTTAGAGGGGTCCTGCTTCACTACTCACCAATGATCAAGTAAAATGCTGAGCGAAGGGAAATTCAGCAATAAGGCGCATGTAATTGAAATGGCTTTTGAAGACCGTACACGAAATGCCAAGCACACACGGCAAATTTGACAATATTTAGAGGAAGACTGCGGTTGTCGGAGGGAAAAATTGCTTGATTTTTAGTTGAAATATTTGACAATAGTGGCAGAAAATGCAATTGTACTTTCTGCGTTTTTATGTTCCTGTCCCAAAACTTTTGCGCCTGTTATACCCATATTGTCGGCTGCAGTGAAAGTGACGCCTGTTATATTCACCATCAGGTGCCACAAACGCATGAACACTGTTTTTTACGTATCCTGCATGAACTCGCCAATGACAGAATTTTATTTATTTTACTTGTCGATATCGTAATGTGCCGCAACGTGATCAACTTGTGTTCGGCGCTTCACTTGAGGTCAACAGTGAGACTGTGGTCGTAAGAGCACTTATAACCTTCTTGTAAATTATTCGACTCGATGTAGAATATAGCACTTGGTCAACTTGTAGCAACGGTATATATTCACAACCATATATCAACATCGTTATCCATCGTGTGGTTGCTTTACCGTTTTCCTACCCCGGTGTAGATGAGCAGGCAAGAGAACACTGTTACTCACGCAGGCCTCTATGCTTTTCTGGGAATCAAAATCCCTCTGTCTAGGTAGATTTCAGCTTTTTCATTCAAAGACGGTGTCACCTCTACGTCATGTACTGTACCACTTTATTCCTCATCCATATTCCCAGAGGGAAATAGGTAATGACGAATGAGCCTTGAATTTCCGATTTCTTTCCTTTGTTCATAGTGAGGCTTTTGTTCTGGAAGACTTGATGTATTTAGGCTGTATGCAAGTGATTATTATTTAGCTGCCAGCTCGTAATATATTCACGTGGTGCGTGACGCCAACAGGCCGAAAGATGTTTTAAACTCAGAGTCAGGGCTACTAGCGGCCTTGACTCTGAGATTGTCTGCCTAAAGAGGATGCCTGCCTAAAGAGGACAGATGGATTACCGCTTACAGCAAGGTACGTTTTTGCCTACTTTTCTTTTTTTCGTAGACTTTCCATGCGTCATTTTCTGTTAAGATTATTTATTATAACGTGTAACAAAGAAAACCAAGCTCTTGAATTTTCACATCTTTCGATCAACTATTTAGGTTGCGATTATTCGCTATTGTGGCCTGATGTGCTAAAGATATTTTAAAAAAGTTTATAAAAGTGAACAAGATTGATTACCAGGAAAGATTGAACGTGTATATGTAAATAGCATAAAAAACGGGACACGTTATGACGAATATTGCATCTTAGGTTGTGAATGTGGATGACACTCCGCCCTCTGCACCGTTGACATGGTCATATATCTTCCGAATGATGTCGATCTCGTCAATTACGGCATTCGTAACCATGTCTATGAAGGCCAGAACAATGACAGCGACGAGGCAGACACCCCCGATGATCATGACGTGCTCCTTCACGTAGCGGTTTGTCGCGTCAGGACAGCTTCCCGTGTGAACGCGGAACCACGCCTCGTGATCGGACAAGTTCAGTACGCTGCGCCCACAGAAGATGCCGGTGAAAGTTGACTCGGGGCGGCAACACGATGGCGGCACCGAGCACCGTTCTTGGCTCGGGTTCGACGCGTCACAGTGGAAGTAACTGCAAAGACAAGTTAAATGAAGACAAGACGAGTTAAGGAATTGGATACTTGTGATAGGTTAAGTTTTTTTCCAAGCATCGAAAACCCACGAACTGTGCTGACCTGTGTTATCATTGATACTATAAGCCATCCTATGGGTGGGTTTGGATACGCCATATTGGGGTGTTAGCTTTGCTTTTTTGCATATTTAACAGCTAAAAGAACAGTGCTGTGTTCAACACATACACACTTGAAAGTCCGGGTCAATGCATTTTGACGTTCTGTGACAATAAAGTAACACTGTTGTGAAACAATGATTTGTTCTAGATTGACAAACTGCACTCTGAAAACTCTGGTAGCATTTTTTGACTATCATAAGCTTAATATTAGCGAAGAAGATTGAGGTTGAAGTTTTGTTTATAATTTTCCCACCATTGCGGTGGCCGCCAGGTGGCTTGGGTGTGTAGTCGCACCTCACATGGGCTCCTGCTCTTATTGCTATTTTCTTTGCAACCCTGCCTGGACACAGCTTGCATTTGGTGACCTGGGATTCCTCACGTCGCAGGGTATGGTTTCATACCAGACTCATCGCAGTGAGGGTACTTTTTTTACTAGATATTGAACTCTAAACATATTGTGCCTGTTCGGTGGGACGCAACATCGCCAAGAAATTCAGAGGCCGCGCTGCACGCGAACGCCACTGAGGAACGAGGACGGGCCTGCGAAACGAGCTGGTCGCCAGCGGCTCATAGGTGCACGAGCACGCTGCTCACGCGACACAGAGACACGCAGCATCTGAGGTAAAGTGCTAACGCTCTCATGGAAACGCAGACGTCTAACCCACGTCAAGAAAGCCCGAGTATGATGCAAGTCCACAACACGGAGGGTAACTCAAGAACGGCATCACAATGAACGTTTGATGAAAATAGTGACAAAACTGACAGGCAAAGCCCACATTGAGTGGCTTCACGCTGGCCGTAAGGCAGGTCAGCCAAAGAAGACAAGTCAGCCAAAGAACGAGCTACGCAACCTGTGAAGCCAGACGCCGAATCTCAACCGCAACGTCAACGCAGCACTAGGATGCTGCCATTCCCTGCTGATGACTTGAAAAATTGTATCGACCCGCAACCAGGACTAGATCTTTCAAACGAACACTCATCGAATTACACATGCCATCGGAAGATCCAGTGGCTTGACCAGCAGGACTTCTATGACCATGTGCGAGTGCAGGTGGAGAAAGTAGAGAAATGTGATCATCGCAAGCACAGGACGTACTGAACGAGCTTCCCAACTGAAAATTATAAATGCTATACAGCTCGGTGAAGTAAATATCAAATAAATCCGCACACTCGAAACCCCAATGGTGTGTGCCGCGGAGTGATCTACAGCCTCGAACCAGGAACAAGCCCCACAGAGATTGTTGCAGGACTTCTCGTAGACAGTTACCACGTCCTTGGCGCGCGCATGCTGGGATCTTTCACAGCTGCAGTTATCACTTTCGGCGGGCAGCACGTTCCTTTCCTTTTTACGTAACGTACCTCAGTGGAGACTAGCGATGCAAGCAATACCGGAAGTCCATCCAATATTGCCGAACCTTTGGCGCCATAGGTACCGAAAAGACATCTGCCCTCATCCGAAAGTGAACTTCTGATACAAATGTGGCCACGACAAGGACACAGAACCACTGACTGCCAACCGATGTGCAAGATCTGCGGAGAAGACCATGACTGCTGAAAAAGAAAATGCAAGAAAAAACTCCGGGCAAATCCCATCACGTCATCGTGTATGTTCAGGAATCTCGAGTGGCGTCTCCACACGCATTTTTGTTTCGCGTGTTGTCTCCCTTAGCCAGCGCAGAGTCGCGGCGGAATTGGCGTTTTCGGAATTGTGAAACTGTACTTCACTAGTACGCAAAAAAATAGTCTCACTCTGAAGTGTGCCTTTAAATAACGCCTTGATATATGCCTGAAAATAATAAAACCGTCGCTAACCGCTAAAGGTGGCGTGGCCAATATGCAATTTTTTTCAGAATATTCCTTCAATGATGTGAGGGATAAGGTTCGGGCAATCACGGCAACTTAAATAATCGTTGTCGAGACTGACGAAGACATTTGCAACTTGAGTTATAAGGCTTAATGCCACGAAAAAAAAAAAAACACCGATAAAGAAGCTTGGCGTGTTACATGGCAACAGCGAAGAACTGCCTTTAGTACGAGCACGACACACGTTCTCGAAAGACAAGGTCTGACGCTTAGCGTAGTCCCCCACTGCACTACACAAGGTTTGAAACACTTCACCGTGTGACGTCGAAGGCAGATGAGTCGATGCGTTGCGTTGCGTCTTACGCCGACATCAGCGATGCCTCAGGCATGGTCGGAGCGGAGCGTGAGGCAGAGTCGATGTGTGGCAAGCACGTCCCGGACAGCCAGTAGTAGGCCCAGGTCTGGAAAACGCCCGGATCCGAGTACAACGGACCGGCGCCGGCTGCTGGATCACACGGTAGAAGGGAGCCAGGCTCGTGCGGACCACAGGCACAGGTAGGCTTCGGGACCACGACCCGACGAGCGCTTCAGCCTGCCACTGTTTCGTTCCGATCCTTCTTCTCGAACGCCCCGTCGTCGTCTTCCTCTTCTCTCTCCCCATGGCTTGGCTTGACTTTGACGACACGATTCCGCCTTTTCCTTGTCTCATCGTCATCTTCGTCGGCGTACGGCACAGCACAAACTCACAAACATCGCGCACCAGATGAACCTACCGCGCATATCATGACAAAAGTCCCCCCTTTCAAAAGTTTTTTTTTCTTTTTTTAAAAAAAACTGTCCAAAGTGCGCGGGAGACAAGACTTACGACAAACAAATGTACAGAACTGTTGCACCAAGAGAATAGTCTGTATGTGAGAGTCCCTAGGCATATGGTACATTATTACATTAATGTGGTATAGCTAGCACCTACACCTGTAGCCTGCTCATATAATCAGCACCTACGTTCTTCGTAGCGCTTGAGCATGTTTATGTGAAACATTTTCGTGGTGTGCCCAAGGTCCAACCAATAGTCGTGGTCATTCTTTTTTCCTGTAACCGGAAATGGCCCCTTCCAGTGCATAAGAAGCTTGTTTTCCCTGGTTGGGAGCAATATAAGAGCCCGGTCACCAACTTTGAGCTGTCGGGTTTTGGAGGTTCGGTCATAATACTTCTTTTGCGAGTGTTGAGCTCGGGAGAGATTCTCTTGAGCCAGCTTCAAGGTGCGTTCAAGACGTTCTCTCAGATCAAGCACGTATCCGTAAGTAGTCTTGATATCTTCCTCTAGGTCTTCCCTGTCCAGAGTTCCTTCAATATATCCAGGGGTCCTCGGACGTGCCGGCCGTAGATCAGTTCAAACGGCGAGAAGCCCATACTGGCCTGAGGTACTTCTCGATAGGCGAATAACAGAGGCGCAAGAAATCGGTCCCATGACTTCGGCTTCTCTTGGCACAACCTGCGCAACATCTGTTTCAAAGTGCCGTTGAACCTTTCGACCAAGCCATTGCATATCGGGTGGTAAGGCGTCGAGCTCAAATGTCGAATAGCAAGCAGAGCATTCACCTCTTCCATCAGGCCTGACGTGAAGCAAGATGCTTGATCACAGAGGATCTCCCGTGGAAATCCTATTCGAGAGAACATCTCCAGTAGTCCATCTGCTACTGTTGCCGAATCAATTGCGGGCAAAGCCACCGCGTCCGGGTACCGAGTGGCGAAATCCACAAGGGTAAGAATGTACCGATTACCCTTCTTTGAAATCGGCGTCAGAGGTCCAATGATATCAACGGCCACACGTTCGAATGGCGTGTCAATCAAAGGCATTCGTCCAAGAGGCGCCTTGCCTACTTTGCCTTTGGGATATGTCCTTTGGCATGCGTCGCATGATTTTACGAATCTTCGTACCTCCTCCTGTACACCGGGCCAATAAAACGACTCCAAAACTCGGTCCTTCGTCTTCTTGATACCCTGGTGACCAGATATCGGTGATTCATGTGCCAAGTGCAACACATGGACACGCAACGCCTTTGGAACCACCGCTTGTTGAACTGATTTACCCGGAGTCAAGTGGTAAACGCGGTACAAGATTCCTTTCTCGAACATAAATGAGTGGTATGTGGCTCCTTTACCGCGGATGAGGGTGTCGACTTTCGCCCTACAAGCATCCAGCGACCGGTCTTCCTCTTGTTTTTGGCGAAATGACTCCGGTGTCACCTCTAAGTTTCCAAATTTAGCAGTCGTGAGCTTCCGGCGATGTCCTTTGCTTGAAACACCAACCATGACTGTGCTCTTCGTCCCGCATCCATCCTTGGATTTCTCTTCAGAATTCAATGCCTGATTAGTTTCCGACTTCAGGCTCGCTGACTCCTTCCACGTTGAGTCGGGGTCATTAGCGTCACGGGCGCCGGGAACATTTCCTACGATGACATCGTAAAGTGGCGACGTCATGCATTTGACTATCGCATTTCCGGTGAAATAGGGCGATAGAATCCGTACTTCTGCTTCCGGTACCTCGATGCAACTACCATCGGCCAATAAAATAGTGGCGGTAGTACCCGTCAGCGCATCATCGGGAACGAGGGAACGTCGCACGACCAGGGTGTTGCTTCCAGTATCCCTCAAGACTGATACAGTATGTCCAAACACTTCTCCCTGTAACACCGGCAAGTTTCGTGTAGCTGTTGCGGTGCGCGTTCGGAGTGCACTAGCAACATATTCATCTTGTGATGAATCATCGGCACATCGGGGCGTCTCGGACTTCTGGTCAGTAGACACGATGCAAGATGTCATTTTCTTTGACCCGCCGTTGCTTGGGCATGCTCTTGCATCGTGGCCGGGCTTCCGACAGTGCCCACAGAAGACTCGTTGGGGTTTCGTGCGGCAATCAGATGCTCTGTGGCCGGGTCGATCACAGACGAAACATCTAAGAGGAGGCTGGGTATAAGTAAATCCTTCTTGCTCCTTGGGAATGTTGTTTGCAGACTTGGTACGAAATACCAACAAGT